TGGCGGACATAGGTACGACCTTGGATCTGGATTGTCTGATCTGCCTCAAAAACAACCGGGTTCTGCAAGCGACTGGACACAAGATCCCAACGAACAGTCACTTGGACCCGGTATTTTTCGGCAGTCACTCGGTCAAGCAACAGAGATCCATGTAAACTTGAATCCCACTGCCCCACAATTGTGACATGAGAGGTTCCGTCGGCGTTCTCCCTGACTGTTGGTTCTTGGACAAACTTCAAGGGGACATCCGGAGTCTGGAAGTCCTGATCTGGGATCTTGCCCCAAGGATCAAGGAGGCGGACAGAACCAACGCGGATGTTGTTAATATCATCCCACGGGAGAGTTTCCGTGGAACTGTACGTGATGTTGACCGAGATGCGGCGCTGCAGTCCTTGATGAAGCTGGGAAGTCCCAGCATCGAGGCTGCTGCTCTGGACAACCTCCACGGGGAGGTATTCACCAGATTCAGCCATTTCGAGTATTTGAATTCTCGCAAAGACATCATGACGTTCTTCCGAGTAATATTCAGATTCCGCGATTCGAGGAGCAGTTCGCTTCTGCGGTGAAGGCTCCGCCGAGTCACGCATATCATCCCAACTAAGAAGCTTGTCGAGATGAACCGATGTCACACCAGCATAAACACAGACCTTCAATGCGGCTGTCCGTGGACTTGACAGCGGCAAGCTCATGCTGTGCACACTTTCAAAGCGAACTGGGCCGTCCTCAAATCCTTTGATCATTTGAGTTGTAGTTGCGCCTCCTTCCTCTGAGATACCTGGAACAAATAACTGCGCATGTACATCAGACCCTTCCCACTCCGCGAACCCGATCATGTCCCGCATGACAACGTTAAATTTCAGAGTTGAAGAGGGCGCCTGCGCGGAGGATGGTTCGAGCGAGAGACGAACGATTCCGATGACACTCTGAGTATATGGCGAGGTTATCTCAACGGAAAAGTCTTGCACGCGGGTTTCAAAAACAGCCGTTAACGGGATGTCGGCATCACCGATAAGAGAATACTGGGGTGAGCAAGGTTCAGAGAATGGATTGTCGAGCTTGAAGTGTTGGATGTAGTCGGGCCGGTCGATATATTGATGCAATTGCCGCATGGCTTGGACGCGACGCTGGAGCTTTTCAATTGACCATAAGTGAATCACGGACTGCTTGAAGTCAATGACCCGGACACCCACACAAGGCTTCTTCGCCTCATCAAGCAGGATGTCTTCATCGCCAGAAATTCCGTTCAACACGAGATCATAAGATGATTCCATGTTATGACCATGGTCGACAATGGCAAACTGGAAGACCACATGCTTGTCCATAATCTGGCTCATGATCTGTGCCTCTTTCAGAAGGGAGGCATGTTGCAAAATCTTCTCGGCCATACGGACGTAATTTCGCTGAGACCAGTGCTTGTACACTGAGCGTGCGATCTCGAGTTCGCGTTCGTCCAACTTGGTGAAGCCATTTTCGAAAATCTGAGGAACTGGCTTACCCATATCTCGGATGTGGGTTTCAAATGTCTCCTTTTGTTTGCGCAGTTGCTCTTCGAATTCCTCCTTAGCTGTCCGTAGGGCGTGCTCCATACGCTCCTTCTCCGTGCGTAGCTCCGGTGAGTCTGGATCAGACGAAGCCCCCACGGATTTGAGCTTTTCTTGGAACTCTTCCTTGCGGCGGTCCAGCTGACGCTGCATATCTTGACGAGCCTGGTTTAGTGATGCAGCGCCATTAACTTCATCGTCGTCATTCTGTCGGGGCGTGCTCGGCATGGTTATAGCGGTGTCTAAAGAAAAGTTGTCGAGGGTCCCGTTGGACATGTACTTGTCCCTAATCGGGAAGGAGCTGATGGAGTCGGAATCTTCCTCTTCTGGGAGTCCACGCCGTCCAGCTCGAACTTTTTGCACATCCTCCAACAGTGTGTCCAATTCATCATCAGGCAAATTGGAGATCTGGTCAGGTCCAACCATAGCACTGACAGCTTCTCTACGTGCTAAGAACCAATCTGACTCACGGCTACGCTGCGACGGCATGGGTGAATCCGCCCTAGATGAATCGCCATCCATGTCAGATCCTGCCTTGCTCAGAGTTCGATCATGGGTTTTGTTTGGCGCCGGCGACCCAAGCTGGCTTGTAGTGACGGAATGGCGGAGTAAGCTCTGCTCGACCCGTTCGGCTCTAGCCTCTTGGGGATGGTTGAAACGGAAAATATGAAAATCGCCGAGGATGATTCGGAAACCACTCTTCAGTCGTGTGGGCTTGTCAACCCGCATGCCGTTCACCATGATAGCGGCACCTTCGGCGGGTACAATGGTCACAACGTTATCCGCATTTTCGAACGTGCAGTGCTTCTCGAGGATCTTGGATCCATTCAACCGGATCTCCACAGTTTGGCCTTGATCCATATGACCAACCGTGGTAGTACCGGGTTTAATATTGTAGACCAAGCATTCCGCAAGAAGGGGGTCGTCGCTGAGATTGACCAAATGGGGCATTTTCTTCGGCGTGCTCATTCCAATGAACCCCTTTTCGATGTTGATTCCCAATTCCTCCAAAGCTGCTTCACGCTCCTTGTGGATAAGTTCTGTATTCTGCAACTTCTCTTCCCAAGTCTGGTTGAGATCTTTGTAGAGCTTCTCACTCTGGTTGAGTTGTTCTACAATCTCTGCCTTGCTGACCTGAGTGACACTTCCGTCCGGCTGTTGGATAGAGACCATCTGTTTCTCCAGCGGTGTATCTGGGGGATAGTACTCCTGAGGAGGACCGCCTCCCATGGCACCAGGTGCTCCTCCCGGTGCTACACCCCCTCCAAGTTTTGATCGGAGCTGTGCCAGTTCCTCCTTGAGTTCGCGAATCATGCGTGCATTCGGATCTTCGTTCACAACAGCATGGTTCTTGATTCGTTTGGCAGAGTCGGCGTATCGCAGAGTACCAAGAGTTTCGTCAAAGTTAATATCTGCAGGAGAAATTGCTGCAATCATGGACGTCATGGAATTTCCACCCAAAGAATCCTTTAGCAACCATGTTAGGATTGAGTCACGATACGGTACCATGGATGCATTCTTCTTCTTGCCCGCAGCGGTCTTGCCAGCAGAGACATCAGCGAGTGCAGCAATCACACGACCAAGTGTTGACAACGAGCGATTGATCTCCGCACCCTCCTTCAATCGCGCGCCAGTGGCTCCAGTCGAGTTAGCTCTTTCTGAACCAGCCAAATCAACCAAACTGATTTTCGACACCTTCTCGGTATCCATCGAAGTCTCTTTGTCATGTCTCTTTTGCGTCAGAGTCAAGGTGAAAACGGCATGTGATCGACTTGAGGTTTCGTTCATGTTAGTCGCGGCAACCGTTCGGGCTTTGTTACCCTCATCCATCAGGTTCTCGATTTCTTCGAAAGAGCTGACGACAAGTTTGGCCAGATCCTCAACATAAGGACCCGTTGACGGATGCTCACGGACTTTCAAGTTGCCTTTGTTTGACGGGTTGAGCAAATCTCGTACCCGTTCGTTGTAGATTTCGAGGTATGACACCTCAACGGTGCAATTTAATAACTTGTCCGCCTGGATCGAGTTTATGCGCTCGAACATGGATTGGCAAATCCGTGGAATCACACCGTATTCTTTGCCATAACCCATCATGGAGTATGATTTTCCCGAACCCGTCTGGCCATAAGCGAAGATACAATTGTTGTAACCCCCAAAGGCATTATCCAGAAGCGGAGCACCCAGATCGTCGAACAGGTCATTTTGATCGGCGAAGTTTGATGAGTTCTTATCGAAGGACCAATATGATCGGTCAAAGGCAAAGACCTTATTCCCTTCAACAACGCCCTTCCCACCCTTCCGTGATTTTTCCTCTGCGCCGGGTGGAGGAGTGAGCACGGTCTGCGAGCCTTTCATTGACACAATACATTTTGCGCCTCGCTCGATCTCTGTATAAAGACAGACTTGGTTAGCTTAAGGTCCAAGTAATACCCCCTCCCTCGATATCTACTCACCTCGACTGTTGAAAGGCCGCACTCGCACCACCACCTTAATATTTCCACCGCCGCCTGGAGCCATCTTTGCTCTCTAACCCATGCACGGGAGATGTTCGTCAACAATGAAGGTGTATGGAAGCTGAAGTCCGGAAGTGGGATGCAAGTGGTGACAGGGGTACACCGATGCGCGAACTCCGTGAGGAGCGCCGCCTGAAGATCTGTCGCCGGGGAATGAGCGCGGGGTTAAGTGTAGCAGAATCGCTTGTGATCGTTTGGGGGTGGTTTGTAGTGAGATTCGAAACCGTAGGTGTCAACAAAGACGTCATGTATCGGTCCAATGTTGATGTTGCGCGTCTGTGATGTTTTTTTTTGTGGGGGAGGTTTGCTGGTGTGCGGGGAGCCTGGATCCTGCAACGTTGAGAATTAGCCACCGAGGGAAACCAGCCACAGTGTCTGTTTTCTCGAGGCACCAAGCAAAACAGAATGCGATTGTGGTCTCGAGTCAACAACGATGCGGAAAAGCCACTTTGGTCCGGGGGTGGTGCTGAGTAAGCGCTCCACCGCCACCCGTGGACTGCAAGGGGCCTCTGGGTTTGACGATGTGGGACTAATGACATGATTTCTCTACCCCAATACGATATTAAAGATGTTATATGTAAGGAGACGCCGACATGTTTTTGGCTGTGCGTTTTATACTTTTCATACGTCTTAATAATGTGTAAGAAAGCAGTCAAAAACGTGAAGCATGCAGCAACTTTTCTATGCATAGAGCATGTCCTTGTAGATATATCGCTACTGGTTGGGTGCCGTTGCTATGTGCCGCATATCTACTACCCCATGCATATTTAGCTCATGTTTACATCGACATGGACGAGAATAGAGTTATGAAGAGGTCCAGAACATATTTGGACACGGTCTTCTAAGTTTTCTTCTATGACATCCATAAGTGTAAGTATGCATGGATAATTTCATTACTCCACCCTTCCTTACATCTTATCGAGAGAATTTTATACCAACTGTTAAGTCCCACATCGATCATTTCACTCCAAGATGGGGGGGTGTTTCTCTAAATGACTTTGACGCGTCCATCGAGAAACAAGCTACGGCAATTGCACCCTGTGGTCATGGTGCGATAGATTGGACAATGAAATCAAAGCTATCAATACGTGAACAAACCGAGGCAACAAAGTACCAAACGAAGAATCGAGCGCAGATGTTCAACCTCTTTCCAAAAAGGTTGATGTCACTACAGAGAGCGGCCACCTACGTAAAAATATAGCAGCTCTTTCTACGAAGGTCGATAAAAGTATTACAGAGATCAGTCACTGGAAAGCAGAAGTTCAAGCTCTACCCACCAAGTGTCAGGGTGTCCTCGAGCCAGAGGTCAATACTATGAATGCAAAGTACCAGGCCCTTTCTACAAAGATTGACAATAGTCTCAATGACAGCCCACCAGCTGTCAACCGGGGTCTTGCTATTGGACTATCTCTTGGTCTAGGCATTCCTCTAACCATAGCTATTGTTTTCCTGTGTTCCATGTGGATTCATCGCAGGTATGATTTCTACGGGCTTTCTTCTGAGAGGGATGGCTAACACGCCACATTCTATTAGATATCCATATATACCACAAGACATGAATAACGAGGAAACTGAGAACTATATCAAAATAAACAAGGCAACACGACAGAGTAAGTTCTACGCGAATTCAAGTTACCTATGGCTATATTCTGACTAACGAGCTTTTGATCAGAAACCTTCACTGAGAAGCTCTGCAATCTTTTTGAAGCCATTAGTTTCAAAAAGAGACCAATTGTCGGAAATTTATGTTATGAGCAACACGCATAAACTTGGAACCTTGACTGTTTGTGCCCTAATCGTGCTAACTAAGTTCAGGGGCAACCCCTTCCAAGGTTGTATCCCTTTTCGGACGCGACCTTGCCTCTCTATATCTTTTAAATGTGATATCATCCATTCTTCTTTTCCTTTTCTCAATTTGACCCCATAGACTATTCTTTCTTCGCGGCCGTACTAAAATTACTCATAGTTATCGCTCTAAACTGAGTCAAATCGAAGTATCCCAGTCACAACTTTTCTCCCAAATTTACTAAAACTTTTCGCAAATTCCCAAAAAAATGGCAGTGAGCGAGGGCCTAGCTATTGACCTTTCTATTTGCTTAGGAATCCCTGACCATCGCGTTGATAATATTGGCTGTGACTTATGGCCGTCGCAGGTAGGTATCTGAACGGCTCTTTTTATGGATCTTACTAGCAATAGTTGTCTATCTAGACATCCAAGGCTACCTGAGCCTGATGCTTGCAAAACTCAGGATACATGAAACTGGCTCAATCTATACCACACAACCCGTCCACGTATTAAGCACCCTCCCGGGCTGTTTTTATCTATTATTTCTGACAGAAGCCTTGCAGAATCCTTTGTGGAGAAGATCCGCACTATCTTGGAGTCCCTGAGGATACTCAGGAATCTCGTGGCTCAGGAGGTGTATATGATGGAAGATGGGGCTAAGGTCCTGAAATGATACTATGGACACAGGAGATGAATGCTTTGCTGGGTAAAAGGACAAGCAGGTATGGCGTACATACGCGTAGGCGGCCTTTGGCGCTTTGATAACATTTGGAGCGGACAAGCTTTTGCTTTTTGATGTAGCGATTAGCTCAATGGTATTGCTGTGGTCGGCATAGCTAGTATACATCGTAAGCGCGTTAGTACTCTATGATTTATCGCGTATCAGTAAGCGAACAGCTGCTAGTTTTGTTTTGGCATTGAGTGCTCACCATGCCCCGTCTAGTATTTACGCGGAATTGGCGCATATTGTACAAAATAATCTGACCACTTAAGATAAGGTCAAAGCCTCGCGATATTGAGTATACTCTCTCTCTCTCTCTCTTTCTACAAAAGAGATTTTCTAAAATTTCCTATAGCTAGCCTTCTATTTAATGAAGAATAGCTGACATCTTACTGGATAAAAATTGTGAATTTAGTAGTTAATTATGAATTTCAATGGTTGTCATTGGAAGTGACTATTATATATATATCTGAAGAATGTGGTTGCTACAGCACCAACGCCGCGAATATCGATCGAAATCAGTCAAAAAAAAAAAAAAAAAAGGGGACCAAATGGGAGCTTATCAATAATACATGAACGTATTTTACCCATGTAGAATCTAGGTCTGTACAAATAAAAACTTGAAGTTGCGAAGTCAAGCGGTCAAGCTTCTCACACGTGGGATGTTTCATGGTCCGGAGATCGGACCCATCCATCTCTGCGAATCGGGACTATCGCCTGATTATCGCCTGTGCTGAATGGCCCATGGAAAGCTACTAAAGTTGACTAGAATGCACGTGGGGATAAACCCGGGACTATAGAAAATGTCTATGTATCACAATATAGCATTCTGTCGTCTGAATTGTTTGGTAATTGAACTCGAGAGGCGATGGGGAAATGTATCCGAAACAGCAACGCGAGGTGGGGATCTTTTGAGTCGGAGGTAAATCTACGGAGGTAAATCTACGGAGTACGGAATACGGTGAGCAGAACTGTTTCGACCGCCAGTTCGGATGTTCAATAATAGTAACAGCCCACTGTAATAATACTAACGGCCTCCGTAGATTGCAGATGCCTTCGTACCTATCTTGTCAATACGAACTCGGGTTAATTAGATTGCGTCATGACCTTGGCTGGAACAAACACTTGAAGGCGCCAAGTGAGTACCTAGAGAGGGACACCTTGTGTTTTTCTGTGAATATCTACTCCGTGCTCCGTACATAATGAATACTTAGATCTCCCAACTCGCGCCAGATGGACGGGCCTGTGTACCAAATAACGTCGTCACTCCCGGCTGAATTACAATATTGCCGCCCGGGGAGATGATTCCATTGCCGCCACCTTAAGAAATCTCATCACACCCCCGTGAGGACCGTAAGTGCCGAGAATGACAGGCCTTACTAGAATAAATCCTGTATCCTGTGAAGCTCATTTTTTTTCCCGATGTACATCGTGCACGAGCTTTGAAGCAAGGGCCATGGCATGGGACATTAGGTGGAGCCTTCCCCAAATAGGACACACGGCCGAGCTACGCGGTGTCCACCGAGAGTAGGAAAAAGCAAAGTGAAATCGCGACACATTCTTTTTGGGTATTAGAAGTGATAATCATGAAAAAGCAAGCTGAAGGAAAAAAGGGCCAAAAAAGAAAGGAGGCGATTATTAAAATGAGGCGAGTGATAATGTGGGCAGACATGCAAATGCAGCTGAAAGTGTACGGGGTATGTATGATTCAACTGCTCGGATTGGGGGGCCTAAGGGTAGTACAGTAGGAAGTAGAGGGGATAATGGGAGTAAATTGTTATCCACAGATATAGTAGATGGCTATATTAACCAACTCTAGTTGATTAAGAGAAGATTGAAAGGAAGAGAACACATACTACTGTACGGAGTACAGAGCAGGAAGGTCAGGTATACTACTCCTGGGCCAATGCGTCATAGTCTCGGGTCGCACATGACGAGAGCTCGGGACTACCGGATTTGTTTTTATTACAGTATTGTCATATGAATACCATTGGGGGCCATTGGGGCGGATATGGAGGTTTATGAACCAGTAATGATGTGTATTGATATGTAATATAGTGTAATATCGCAGAAAAGGCGGCATCAACAGCGGGGAGTAAGGCGGTCGCTCAGTCGGCAGCCAGTCAATCTCCTACAAAACTGCCCCATCCGCCCTTTTTCCTCGCCTTTCTTCCTCTGCCTCTTCTCGTTGGTTGCCCGCCCTCTCCAGTTCATCCTCCAATCGCACAGTATCATCTCCCCCCTTTTTACATCATTATTGGTGAAACCCTGCCTTGCATAAGGTCATTACTTCTCTATTGGTCTCGATACTATAACTGGGGTAAGTGTTATATACAATTTGCTTTACTGCAGCATACTGTACTCAGTACTCTAGTACTGCAATTGTATGCTTCTTTTTGCTTTCCCCTACTATTGCTTTTCTTTGTTTGACCCTTTCATCTTTGATCACAATTCTTCCTGGCTAAAACACATGTCACAATTCACTTTTGTATTCCTGTTTTTATTCACTCATTTTTTTAACACCATTTGAACTACAATTGTATCCCTATATACCTCCTGTACTGTCTTACTGCCGGTACTTGTATACTTTGGCGGAACTGCCCGGCTTGACATCAGTGGCTCCCACAGGACCACCGCCTTCTCTCTCGTTGGCACGATTCCCATCTCCCCCCTCTCTTCCCCTCTGGTCAAATCATCTTCTACCCTGGGATCCCTTGATTGCTTGGGATTGGAAAGTCACCTTATACCCGGAGATTATCCTTTCTATTTCTGCCGTGCCTATTAAGGTAATCGCTAAGCTCCAATCCCACGTTGCGCGCGCTTTGGCTTATCTCGTGGCAAAACAACGCGTGCTAAACCAAAACACACTCATTTTCACTTTGACCTATCCTTGCTATTCCTCCTATCATTGGCTCTTCTGATTTTACCTATGCGCGCGATTGCGTTTCATGTTTCTTTTCGTCCAATCTGCACGCGTCCCATTTACATCTTCCTCGTGGGTATCCAGTTGCATCTAACATATGACATAGTGTCGCGCAAACTGATCTCCTTGGCTTTGGCCTGTTTTAACCATCTTCACTTTGTCTCTGCTCTGCAGAATTCGATCGACAAGGTACGTTTCCAGCTGCAGCTTAACTCCCGCGTTGCCAACGCATACATTCTCCCCTCTCAACCCTGACCGGTCTAACCCGCCCCGGATTCCCAAACCCCCCTCCACTTGAACCCTCTGTATTGACAGCGCATTGGTCGTTGCTTTATCGCGATGATTGGATGAAATGTTAAAAATGCTAATGCTAGCCCATAGTGTTGGTGCGTGGAGCCTTAGTGAGGCGCATTCCGACACCAACGCCCAGGCGTTATCTGTCGCAAGTCGAGGCTGTTAGCACCGCCTGGATTCTACGCTAGACGGTGGCAGAGCAAGGTCTCAGAATTGCATGAATGAGGTATCCTGCCGACCGTGCTTCAAATATACTGCGTAGTCTCCACATCTACCATCATCAGGTCTGCTCTGACTTGACAACGCATCAAACCGACGTCTAGTTGAGGCACCCCGGCACTGCTGCACCGCTGCATCACAGCCCAACCACGTTACACCCGACTGTGGGCGTAAACAACTTTGCACAAAACCAAAACCCTCCGCAAGCCGCTCGAGATTACTCTCGACAGAAGAGTTTCTATTGACGAAACACAGAGCAATATCAGAACGCGCCTGCAATTTAAGGTACGTGCCTGGTCCCAGTTGTGTTGATTTGGTTCCCCATACCCCCACTCGCCAATCCAGTGACCGCTCGGCGATGCGCTCTGCTGACGCGACGCCCCGAGCCTGCAGACAATTTGTCGAATCATCAGTCACCTACCCCAGCACTTGTGGTGACTCTTGTCCCTCATTGCGCGTGCTCTGCGATATCGTTTTATTACATCTACCAAACAAACGTCGCTGTCAACTTTTGACATATTTGACCAACCACCCCAAAGCAATCCTTTGGATCTGATTGGTGATCTCCACAC